GACATCCAGAATGTCGTATCTGGGAGCGCCTCTGCAAAGACAGTGATTATGTGTAATTGATGGAAAAAGTGTTGAATGATGGTGAAAGCGTTTTTTTTGTGGGTCGCTGCGCCTCAGTGGGAGACGGCCATCATGTTGCTGTTGAAGTGTAAGCACGGTAACATTTATGAAGGGATTTAGGGAACCCGGCGGGCCGGACTTAATTCCTGGAGATGGGAAGTACAGTGCCGGCACTCTGAAGGAGGGGTGTTAATGTTGCAGTTTTATACATAACTGTAGTGTAAGCGCACCTCTGGCAAGACAGTGATGAAGTGAATGATGATGAAAGTTTTTCTTTTTCGGGCCACCCTGCCTTGGTGGGAAATGGCCAGTATGTTAATGATTAATAAATAAAATATATTTATACAGTGGACCCCCGCTTAACGATCACCTCCCAATGCAACCAATTATGTAAGAGTATTTATGTAAGTGCATTTGTACGTGTATGTTTGGGGGTCTGAAATGGACTAATCTACTTCACAATATTCCTTATGGGAACAAATTCGGTCAGTACTGGCACCTGAACATACTTCTGGAGTGAAAAAATATCGTTAACCGGGGGTCCACTGTATATGTAAATTTAATTATTTTTATCATTATTACCATTGTTATTATCATTATTATTATTATTAATGTAGCTATGAACTGTGAATATTTAACCCTTAAACTGTCCAAACGTAAATCTACGTTTGCTCGCGTAGCGCTCCGAACGTAGATCTACGTTTTTTTACATTGTGTCTTATGGAGAAAATTAAGGTTGGAGCGCTATGCGTGCAAACGTTGATCTACGTTTGGAGAGTTTAAGGGTTAAAGGAGGAAAACAATTCAAACCTTGCAACACATTGCAGAATTCTCCAAGGAACGTTGCACCGACAAGGCCCAGGTCACCTCCCTCAGTATCTTCAACCGCACCTGCTACGAGTTACAGGTAACTGCACATTACAGCAGTACAGCCAGGCAGTGTCTGTAACACAGACTGCTGTATCCCATACCTACAGTTAATTGTATTTATTTTATAGTTTGATGTTCATAAAGTTGTTTACAAATTTTTAGGCCCGAGTGTATTTTTGTAGTAAGGCTTATTATCTTGTGTTGAGTGAATGATGCGTTATACATATTATATTTGACAAGGACCCCGGTGGAAATAAGTCGGGGACTACAATGGGAGTAAGTCAAGGACTACAATGGGAGTAAGTCAAGGACTACAATGGGAGTAAGTCAAGGACTACAATGGGAGTAAGTCAAGGACTACAATGGGAGTAAGTCAAGGACTACAATGGGAGTAAGTCAAGGACTACAATGGGAGTAAGTCAAGGACTACAATGGGAGTAAGTCAAGGACTACAATGGGAGTAAGTCAAGGACTACAATGGGAGTAAGTCACTTTAACTTACTTTTTTAGGTTATTTTGGTAGGTAATCTACACTATGTATGTTATAGTATCAATCGCATCTGCTAGAAAAATGACAGGATGGATAATGAGAACCTTCAAAACTAGGGAGGCCAAGCCCATGATGACACTCTTCAGGTCACTTGTTCTATCTAGGCTGGAATATTGCTGCACACTAACAGCACCTTTCAAGGCAGGTGAAATTGCTGACCTAGAAAATGTACAGAGAACCTTCACGGCGCGCATAACGGAGATAAAACACCTCAATTACTGGGAGCGCTTGAGGTTCCTAAACCTGTATTCCCTGGAACGCAGGCGGGAGAGATACATGATTATATACACCTGGAAAATCCTAGAGGGACTAGTACCGAACTTGCACACGAAAATCACTCACAACGAAAGCAAAAGACTTGGCAGATGATGCAACATCCCCCCAGTGAAAAGCAGGGGTGTCACTAGCACGTTAAGAGACCATACAATAAGTGTCAGGGGCCCGAGGCTGTTCAACTGCCTCCCAGCATACATAAGGGGGATTACCAATAGACCCCTGGCAGTCTTCAAGCTGGCACTGGACAAGCACCTAAAGTCGGTTCCTGACCAGCCGGGCTGTGGCTCGTGCATTGGATTGTGTGCAGCCAGCAGTAACAGCCTGGTTGATCAGGCCCTGATCCACCATGAGGCCTGGTCACAGACCGGGCCGTGGGGGTGTTGACCCCCAGAACTCTCTCCAGGTAAACTCCAGGTAAAATCAGTCATGGTTATAACCTTAAAAGTTAAAACAGGCAAATATCTCACCTGTGTGAAAACCATTAACCTGTCAGACAGAGCTCTGTGACTGTACAGGTGCTCCATGACTTGTGATGGTTCAACTTGTAATGGTTCAACTTGTGATGGTTCAACTTAGGATGGTTCAACTTATGATGGTTCAACTTATGATGGTTCAACTTGTGATGGTTCAACTTGTGATGGTTCAACTTAGGATGGTTCAACTTATGATGGTTCAACTTACGATAGTTCAGCTCAGGATATTTCAAATTTACGATGGTGCGGCAGTAATTACTTTGGATATGAAACTTGAGATAATTACCCAACATGAAGGCAACAAGTCCCTAACTTGTATTCATTTATTTACTTTTCAGTACTGGTATTTAGTTACAGTAATTATTTGTTTATTTACTTATTCAGCGACAGTGGTTATTTATTCACTTATTTATTTAGCATATAGTATTCACATTCGACTTGTGATATTTTCGACTAACTATAGGTTCGTCTGAGCCTTATTTATGTATTTATTTTATATATTTATATTAAACTTATGATATTCTTGACTTACGATGGGTTCATATGGTCTTTATTTATCTGTCCTATCATATTCATTTTTGACTTACCATACCACGGGCGGGATTGAACCCGCGGTCAGAGAGCCTCAAAACTCCAGACCGTCGCGCTAGCCACTGGACCGTGGTATGGTTTGTTTGCAATCGTGTCATTACAATTTCGTGAGTCATATTTGACTTATTATGAGTTCATCAGAATGTAATCCCATCGTAAGTCAAGGACCGCCCGTAGTTAATGGTCCAGGTCGGGCCAAAACATAGTTACATATTTCAGTCTCCAACGTGCAGGTTATGTGTGTATTGTTTCAGTCATAGTATTGTGCCCTTTTATTTTAATTCCCTCATTGTACTTTGTGTCAACAGGTGACCGAGGGCGGGGACTTCGAGCGTGGTCGCCAGTACTGCCAGAAGCATGGCGGGGACCTGGTTCATGGTATTGGTCAGGCCACACACTCTTTCCTCAAGTCTGAGCTGGAAAGACTGAAGGACACTATGAGGACAAACCTCATCTGGATTGGAGCCCAGAGAGAACCACAGTACATCTCCCGTACCTGGAGATGGGTAGATGGTACGATGAGTTTGTTATTGTATGAGGTGGATGCTACACTGTGTTATTGTAGATGTGTGGATGGTACACTGTGTTACTGTAGACGTGTGGATGGTACACTGTGTTACTATAGATGTGTGGATGGTACACTGTGTTACTGTAGACATATAGATGGTACACTGTGTTACTGTAGATGTGTGAATGGTACACTGTGTGTGTTACTGTAGATACAGACAATTTGCTGGGTTTATTTCCGATGATCACAGGACTTCATGATAAATCCACTTTTAGTAATGCCATCTACGTGTCTAGTGATGGGTGGATAGTGCACTAATAGTAGTACAAGTGGAGTTGTTTTATTCATAATGAATACAACAGTTCTACTTCCCATTGGAATTTGTTACGAATATAATGACTTTGGTTGTACAGACAAGGTGGTGGAGCGCCCCCGGTGGGGCCAAGAACAGCCCAACAACTATAACGGCAAGCAGAACTGTGTAGTTCTGGATGGTGGACGAGAGTGGGCCTGGAACGATGTGGGTTGTGAACTCAACTACCTCCACTGGATATGTCAGTTCCGTGAGTAGTCCTTGTTCGTGACTCACTTTACAGCAGTTTTTACTGATTACTAATTATTTCGATGCTACTGTGGTGGTTATTAGTGTGGCGGATATTATTGTCTGCTTATTTTCTCTCCCTGTCATCCCAAAACTTGTTTGTATACTCTAAATGTCTATAGACTGGTTCCTCGGGGTACGAACTTAATTCATTCCAGAAGGCTGTTCGAGTGCCGATACTGAACAAATTTGTTCCCATGACAAATAATGTAAATTAGATTAATCCATTTCAAACCCCCAAAAATACACTTATAAAAGCTCTTACATAAATACACTTACATAAATATTCGAGTTTTGAGCTGTTCGTATCCCGAGGTACCACTGTATATGTAGGTAATTAATTTGTTATTGCCTAAAATTTGTTATTGGCCTAAAATGTTCTGCATAACTGTGGACTTTCTGCATGTGTGACTGTATGTCACCTGTGTCTTCATTAACACAGTGGTACCTCGGGATACGAACAGCTCAAAACTCGAACAATTATGCAAGTGTACTTATGTAAGTGCTTTTGTAAGTGTATGTTTGAGGGTCTGAAATGGATTAATCTAATTTACATTATTCCTCATGGGAACAAATTCGTTTGGTATCAGCATTCGAACAGCCTTCTGGAACGAATTAAATTCGTACCCCAAGGTACCACTGTATTGTATTATGCTGAAATAAAATATTATTGTTATTATTATTGTTATTATTATTGTTATTATTATTGTTATTATTATTATAGCTAGCAATCAACCAGTCTTAATGACCCTCATATAGAAGGTAGACTTTAAACCCCATTAACCAACCAAACAGCCTTAATGACCTTTGTGTAGTAGATAGACTTCAAATCCCATTAAGCAACCAACCAGTCTTAATGACTCTCGTATAGTAGACTTTAAATTACCCAACCATCAACAGTGTACCGATGTTTAACTACCTTGCAGAGCCAACATCATGCGGTTCACCCGACAGCAACGAGAACACAACCATGAGCAGCACCGATGACACTGCCACTGGAGCCTCCGTCACATACCACTGTCCGGAGGGTAACGTTGTCATGGGCAACCTCACTCGCACCTGTCTCTCCACCGGCTTCTGGAGTGGCGATGCACCCAAGTGCAAGTGTACGTATGGTAGTGTGTGTGTGTGTGTGTGTGTGTGTACATGCGTGGGTATGTACTGTCTGGATCACCCTTGTGACTACACCTTAATATAAGTTACAATTTCAGTAATCCCTTGGTACAACGGACCTTGATATAATGTATTCTGATGTAACTTACTCTGATATAATGGATTGATATAACCTTGATACAACATACTCTGATATAACATAGTCTGATATAACAAACTTTGATATAATGGACTCTGATACATAACTCACTCTGATGATATAATATACAGGTCTCCCTCAACATTCACGTTTTCAACTTTCACGGGTTTCACACATTCGCGAATTCCCAACCGCCAAATTCCCAGCCACCAAATCATATTTAAGTTTCCCGCCACCTGCGAGTCCCTACTACCCTCCCTCCGACCCCCGCAACTGGCAGCCAGCCCTCCCACCACTCAGTGTGGTGAGTGTTTTGTTTGTTCATTATTTGCTATTAAACTACAGTATAAATAATGTAAACCCATTTATGACTGCATATTGGAATGGCTATTCGAACAGGTATTAGACGGTGACATCATGTGTTTACTCTTGAACACTGTAAAGAATTAAACATTTCTACTACAGCTAATAATAACAATAGTAGTAGTAATAATAATAATAATAATAATAATAATAATAATAATAATAATAATAATAATAATAATAATAAATACGATATAATTGAAGAAGGAAATTGTACAAAAATACGAGGGAGTGGTTGACACATCGTCAGTGTGACTTTGTTTATGTTGGAGTGAACATTAGTCTCCCTGCTCTTCCAAACATTTCACAATAATTCATTGTGTTTGGTGCTTGTAGATTGAGTGTGACTGGAATGGTAGAGGCAGTGATTGAGGCAATGGTATTTAATAACATACATGTTAATAATAATACATGTTATTAATAATATGTACTATTATTGTTTATAACATATATGTTATTAAATACCACTGCCTCAACCGCTGAATTATTGTGAAATGTTTGGAAGAGCAGGGAGACTAATGTTCACTCCAGCATAAACAAAGTCGCACTGACGATGTGCCAACCACTCCCTCGTATTTTTGTACAATTTCCTTCTTCAATTATATCGTATTTATTATTATTATTATTATTATTATTATTATTATTATTATTATTATTATTAGCAATAGCAGAAATGTTCGATTCTTTGCAGTGTTCAAGAGTAAACACATGATGTCACCGTCTAATACCTGTTCGAATAGCCATTCCAATATGCAGTCATAAATGGGTTTACATTATTTATACTGTAGTTTAATAGCAAATAATGAACAAACAAAACACTCACCACACTGAGTGGTGGGAGGGCTGGCTGCCAGTTGTGGGGGTCGGAGGGAGGGTAGTAGGGACTCACAGTGGTGGGAGGGCTGGCTGCCAGTTGTGGGGGTCGGAGGGAGGGTAGTAGGGACTCACAGTGGTGGGAGGGCTGGCTGCCAGTTGTGGGGGTCGGAGGGAGGGTAGTAGGGACTCGCAGTGGTGGGAGGGCTGGCTGCCAGTTGTGGGGGTCGGAGGGAGGGTAGTAGGGACTCACAGTGGTGGAGTCTGTGTTATTTAATAACATACATGTTATTAACATACATGTTATTAAATAACATACATTATTAAAGCATAACATGTATATATTTAGTACAATTTATGACGTTTTCATGTATTTTATGATTATTCATGGTTCAACAAGTTAAGGAAGCAGTATTGTAATATATTTCCCTACAATATATTGGGGCACCAAACATTCACGGTTTTTCAACATTCGCGAGGCTCTTGATCCCCTAACCCTCGCGAATGTTGAGGGAGACCTGTACTCTGATATAATGGACTTTGATATAGCATACTCTGATATAACAGACTTTGATATAACAGATTTTTTTAATTATGGGCAAAAATCCCATGGTTGAATTGTACTTTTATGCTATATTTTTAGTGTTTATTGGTGTATATTGGTAAACTGTGTATACAATACTAAATTAAGTATACAGAGTAAACATTTGATTTTTTAAGTGATATATGGGGAATCCCTCTGTTAGTCTGCTATGTTGAAGTTTATTGCTTGTGCAATTATGTGCCATGATGTGTTGATGTGGTGTGATGGTTCTGAAGACTTGTTGATGTGGTGTGATGGTTCTGAAGACTTGTTGATGTGGTGTGATGGTTCTGAAGACTTGTTGATGTGGTGTGATGGTTCTGAAGACTTGTTGATGTGGTGTGATGGTTCTGAAGACTTGTTGATGTGGTGTGATGGTTCTGAAGACTTGTTGATGTGGTGTGATGGTTCTGAAGACTTGTTGATGTGCTGTGATGGTTCTGAAGACTTGTTGATGTGGTGTGATGGTTCTGAAGACTTGTTGATGTGCTGTGATGGTTCTGAAGACTTGTTGATGTGGTGTGATGGTTCTGAAGACTTGTTGATGTGGTGTGATGGTTCTGAAGACTTGTTGATGTGGTGTGATGGTTCTGAAGACTTGTTGATGTGCTGTGATGGTTCTGAAGACTTGTTGATGTGGTGTGATGGTTCTGAAGACTTGTTGATGTGCTGTGATGGTTCTGAAGACTTGTTGATGTGCTATGATGGTTCTGAAGACTTGTTGATGTGCTGTGATGGTTCTGAAGACTTGTTGATGTGGTGTGATGGTTCTGAAGACTTGTTGATGTGCTGTGATGGTTCTGAAGACTTGTTGATGTGCTATGATGGTTCTGAAGACTTGTTGATGTGGTGTGATGGTTCTGAAGACTTGTTGATGTGCTATGATGGTTCTGAAGACTTGTTGATGTGGTGTGATGTTCTTGAAGACTACTTGGTGTCCCATGGCTGGGTTGGTGGCGCACTCAGCTCACACACACTGAGGTCCCTGGATTGATCCCTGGTATGGCAGGAAACATTAGGACATGTTTCCTAAAGACACCTGCTGTCCATGTTCACCTCATAGTAAGTAGGTACCTGGGTGTTAATGGATTGGCATGGGTCTCATCCTGGGAACAAAATTAACCTGAGTTGTGGGAAATACTCTGCATAACAAGGGGCTTTCTAAATAGTATGTCATTGGTGTCAGCTATGGTCTGTATAAGTTGTATCATGTACTGCTAGAAATAAACATTCTTTCTTTCTTTCAACACACCGGCTGTATCCCACCAAGGCGGGGTGGCCCAAAAGGAAAAACGAAAGTTTCTCCTTTTACATTTAGTAATACAGTATATGCAGGAAAAGGGGTTACTAGCCCCTTGCTCCTGGCATTTTAGTCGCCTCTTACAACACGCATGGCTTACGGAGGAAGAATTCTGTTCCACTTCCCCATGGAGATACGAGGAAATAAACAAGAACAAGAACTAGTAAGAAATAGAAGAAAACCCAGAGGGGTGTGTATATATATGCTTGTACATGTATGTGTAGTGTGACCTAAGTGTAAGTAGAAGTAGCAAGACGTACCTGAAATCTTGCATGTTTATGAGACAGAAAAAAGGACACCAGCAATCCTACCATCATGTAAAATAATTACAGGCTTTCATTTTACACTCACTTGGCAGGATGGTAGTACCTCCCTGGGAGGTTGCTGTCTAAAAACCTACTATCTACAGAAAATAAACATTATTATTATTAATATTATAGTATGTCATTGGTGTCAGCTATGGTCTGTATAAGTTGTATCACGTACTGGTAGAAATAAACATTATTATTATTAATTATATAGAGAATATAGTTTGTTTTGCATTTCAGATGTGGATTGTGGCAATCCTGACGACATAGATAATGGATTGCACGTCCTGGTGGACGGTCGCACGACATATGGTGCCAAAGTGCGCTTCGAGTGCAACAAGAACTACACCATCAATGGCGAGAACTCCGCCATCTGCTCAGAGGATGGCACGTGGTCGCCGCAGCCGCCAGAGTGCCTCTGTAAGTTGTCAAGGGCTCGCTAACATAGGGACAGTGGATGGTGTTCCTGCTGTTGACTTCCTCTCTCTGTGATGTCCTTGTTGCATGTGTCTATTGACTCTCTTAGTTGCTAGTTACCTTTAATGTGTGTTCTAAGTTATTATTCACTGTGTCAGTGGTGATCCTGGTTGCCACTTGTCATTGATAACCCAGGTCGTCACTTGTCAGTGATAACCTTGGTCATCACTTGTCAGTGATAACCTTGGTCGTCACTTGTCAGTGATAACCCAGGTCGTCACTTGTCAGTGATAACCCAGGTCATCACTTGTCAGTGATAACCCAGGTCGTCACTTGTCAGTGATAACCCAGGTCGTCACTTGTCAGTGATAACCCAGGTCGTCACTTGTCAGTGATAACCCAGGTCGTCACTTGTCAGTGATAACCCAGGTCGTCACTTGTCAGTGATAACCCAGGTCGTCACTTGTCAGTGATAACCCAGGTCGTCACTTGTCAGTGATAACCCAGGTCGTCACTTGTCAGTGATAACCCAGGTCATCACTTGTCAGTGATAACCCAGGTCATCACTTGTCAGTGATAACCCAGGTCATCACTTGTGTGGTGAGAACTGTTATCACAATATTAATATTTATACAATGGTAAGATATTTATTGTACTAATAATTTTTATAAGTATTAAATTAGATTTTTGAGAGAGACGGCCTCTCAGTCTTCTTAAATCTCCATATAAAATTGAACATAAAAATTTGACTTTCTGAAAAATATTTTTACTTCTGCCTATTTAAAATAGTAATTCTCAGGGATGAGGGACAAGATATATACCCTCAGAGGTATATCTGTCTCAGTGTATATACACTGAAAGTTTATATTAAATCCTATTTTAGTGAGCTGCTTACTCACCTCTACATTGTTTATATGTCAGTACTACTCCAACAGCACTCCAACTCCTGAAGCTAACTCGCTTCCACTTACCCTAATCCAAGACTCTCGCTTTGTTATATATTTAATCCATCAAGCTCTTAGACACTCACAGAAATTACTCGAGAATAAAATGGATCTGTAAATAGTATATATTTAGATCTCTATAAAGGTCTGAATAAATGGTTTAGAGAACCGACAAGTTGATAAATGAGAGACTTATGCAGCACTTGAGAATCTTTATTCTGGAAACATTTCACCGGTCAGTGGCTTCTTCAGTCAAATGCAGAGAAAGATGGAAGATGAGGAGTTTGAGATAGTCAGTCCCCCAACCTGGAGTCAGTGTGTTCACTTAAAGTATCTTATTTCTCAAGAATGCTCTCTGTGCACTTCTTCATCAAAGCCTAATGTAAAATCATGAAAACATATGGCAACAGTGGGCAAACTGTGACTCCCACAACTAAACTGCGACTCCCACAACTAAACTGTGACTCCCACAACTAAACTGCAACTCCCACAACTAAACTGCAACTCCCACAACTAAACAGCGACTCCCACAACTAAACTGCAACTCCCACAACTAAACTGCAACTCCCACAACTAAACTGCGACTCCCACAACTAAAAATGCGACTCCCACAACTAAAATGCGTCTCCCACAACTAAACTGGGAATACCCCACAACTAAAAATGCAACTCCCACAAAATAAACAGCGACTCCCACAACTAAACTGCAACTCCCACAAACTAAACTGCGGACTTCCCCCAACCCAAACTGCGACTCCCACAACTAAACTGACTTCCACAACTAAACTGCGAAACCCCCCCAAAACTACAACTGTGACTCCCACAACTAAACTGTGACCCAAAAAACTAACGTGAAATCCCACAACTAAACTGTGACTTCCACAACTAAACTGCGACCCCCCCACAAACTAAACTGTGACTCCCACAACTTTAAAATGTGATCCCACAACAAAACTGTGACTCCCACAACCTTTAAAATGTGACTTCCACAACTAAACTGTGACTCCCACAACTAAACTGTGACTTCCACAACTAAACTGTGACTTCCACAACTAAACTGCGACTCCCACAACTAAACTGCGACTCCCACAACTAAACGCGACTCCCACAACTAACTGTGACTCCACAAACTAAAAATGCGACTCCCACAACTAAACTGCAACTCCCACAACTAAATGGGGACTCCCACAACTAAAAATGCAACTCCACAACTAAAATGTGGCTCCCACAATAAACTGCAACTCCCACACTAAACTGCAACTCCCACAACTAAACTGCAACTCCCACAAACTAAACTGTGGCTCCACAACTAAACTGCGACTCCCACAAACTAAAATGCGACTCCCACAACTAAACTGCGACTCCCACAACTAAACTGCAACTCCCACAACTAAACTGCGACTCCCACAACTAAACTGTGACTCCCACAACTAAACTGCGACTCCCACAACTAAACTGCGACTCCCAAAAACCCAAACTGCGAAACCCCCCACAAACTAAACTGCGACTCCCACAACTAAACTGTGACTCCACAACTAAAAACTGTGACTCCCACAACTAAAAATGCGACTCCCACAACTAAACTGCGACTCCCACAACTAAACTGTGACTCCCACAACTAAACTGCGACTCCCACAACTAAACTGCAACTCCCACAACTAAACTGCGACTCCCACAACTAAACTGTGACTCCCACAACTAAACTGCGACTCCTGAGAAAATATTGGGTTTCATTGGCATTTTTCCCAAAATTTTATACCTTAATAATCTACAGTAGTATAGTACGTACCATTATTAGAATATTTTATATATATATATAGGGTAATTCACAAAACGTTTTCAAACATCCATTTGCATTATGTGTGCAAACTGCTGTTTAAACTTGCTGAACATAATCAAAACATAAATAACAAAAAGGCACAATACCGTGACTGGAACGATACACAAATAACCCGAGTCAGACCGAAACGTCATCGTAAGCTTCTCTCTTTTATGTGCGGGTTATTTGTGTATAATCAAAATACGTTTTAAACAAGTACAGATGATGCAACTGGACTCTGTGCCATCACTCTTCGTGCAGTACACACAAGTTACAGTGTAAATTAGTACTTTTCTGATTTATAAATACTTACAACTGATTTTAGTTAAATACAATTATAAAATAATGTTTTTTGTGGCTCTTGAACATTCAGAAATGTATGAAAAGTTGAAGAATTGAGACACTTATGCAACACATGGGAATCTTTACAGATTCCCATGTGTTGCATAAGTATCTCAATTCTTCAACTTGTCGGTTTTCTAAACCATTCATCACATGTATGAAAAGTATCGGTAGGTAAGACACATAGGCAGCAGTTAGGCAACTGTATTCTGAAACGTTTCGCCTACACAGTAGGCTTCCTCAGTCGAGTACAGAAAGTAGGCAGGAGCAGTAGAAATGTGAAGATGATGTAATCAGTCCATCACTCTTAAAGGCGTAGATTTGAGGTTGTCAGTCCCTCAGCCTGGAGAAGAGTTCTGTTTCATAGTCTGAAACAATGTGAACATCAAACGACAGTGTACTGTTGGAAGGAGAGGTGTAGAGTAGTAGTAGAGAGAATGTAATTACTGAGAGGTCACGTCCCTCTCAGGTCCAACCATTCTCTCTTGAAAAAGTTGTCCAAGGTGTTTTCTCTTCTGTACCAAGATGCCATTGTGTTGCAGTATCTGGCAGAGTGAATATCAAAATTGTATACAATACCGACAGGTATTGAGGGACTGACAACCTCAAATCTGCATCTTTAAGGGTGATGGACTGATTACATCGTCTTCGCATCTCTACTGCTCCTGCTTACTTTCTGTACTCGACTGAAGAAGCCTACTGTGTAGGCGAAACATTTCGGAATAAAGATACCTAACTGTCGTCCATGTGTCTTACCTACCAACCTGTCGGTATTGTATACCATTTTGATATTCATGAAAAGTATTGTATGTGGCTCTTCTTATTGAAGAACTTACTCACCCATGATACAGGACGTATGATAAGTAACTGATCTCACTGTATGAGAGATTCCATGTTTGACAAGGAAGATGTGACCAGCAATTGTTTTGATACACCAGGACCTCAATGTCTACTTTTGTCTAAATAGAGGACCTACTTCTAAAGAGGGGGACCTCAGTGACTACTTCTGTCTCAATAGAAGGACCTACTTCTAGAGAGAGGGAACTTAGTGATTACTTTTGTCTAAATATAGGGACTTCAGTGTCTAACCTTCCTTGAATAACGAGTGACCTTGGCATTTTCAATGCCAGATCACATTAAAAAAAATACTGAGTAACTCCCATGTCACATTGACCAATTTCATATTGATCTTGACATATATATGAGAAGGAAAATCCTAGAGGGACTAGTCCCAACTATGCACATGGAAATCAATCCTTATGAAAGCAAAAGACTTGGCAGGAGATGCAACATTCACAATATGAACAGCAGTGGTACCACGAGTATGATAAGAGACAGCACAATAAGTGTCCGGGACCCAAGACTATTCAACTGCTTCCCAGCCGGGCTGTGGCTTGTATGTTGGTTTGCGTGCAGCCAGCAGCAACAGCCTGGTTGATCAGGCTCTGATCCACCAGGAGGCCTGGTCACAGACCGGGCCGCGGGGGCGTTGACCCCCGGAACTCTCTCCAGGTAAACTCCAGGTATACATAAGGGGGATTACCAATAGACCCCTGGCTGTCTTCAAGAGGGAGCTGGATAAACACAGTCTACCTGATTAGCCGGGCTGTGGTTCGTGCATTGATTTACATGTGACCAGCAGTAACAGCCTGGTTGATCAGGTCCTGATCCACCACCAGACCTGGTCATGGACCAGACCGTGGGGGCGTTGACCTCCGAAATACCCTTCAGGTATACTCTGGGTATACCATATTTCCCGGCTTATTAGACACATGGTTTTTTCCATAAAATGTCTCCAAAAATCAGCCTGCGTCCTATAAGCTGAAGGTCAGTGATGGGAGCTACAAGTTTGGGGTGTGACGTGGGCTGTAGCTCTCCCAGTTATGTCTGATGCCGAGC